GTAGTAGTAGTAGTAGTAGTAGTAGTCGTCGTCGTAGTAGTAGTAGTGGTAGTAGTAGTAGTAGTAGTAGTAGTAGTAGTAGTAGTAATAGTAGTAGTAGTACTAGCAGTCGTCGTCGTAGTCGTCGTAGTCGTCGTGGTCATCGTAGCAATAGTAGTACTAGTAGTAGTAGTAGTAGTAGTAGTAGTAGTAGTAGTCGTAGTCGTAGTAGTAGTAGTAAGTAGTAGTAGTAGTAGTAGTATAGATAGTAGTAGTAGTAGTAGTAGTAGTAGTAGTAGTTATAGTAGTAGTAGTAGTAGTAGTAGTAGTAGTAGTAGTAGTAGTAGTAGTAGTAGTAGTAGTAGTAGTAGTAGTAGTAGTAGTAGTAGTAGTAGTAGTAGTAGTAGTAGTAGTCGTAGTAGTAGTGTCGGAGTAGTAGTGTCGTCGTCGTCGCGTAGTAGTAGTAGTAGTAGTAGTAGTATTAGTGGTAGTAGTAGTAGTAGTAGTAGTAGTAGTAGTAGTAGTAGTAGTAGTAAGGGCACTGGTACTGGTAGTGGTAGTAGTAGTAGTTGTAGTTGTAGTAGTAGCAGTAGTAGTAGTAGTAGTAGTAGTAGTAGTAGTAGTAGTGGTAGTAGTAGTAGTAGTAGTAGTAGTAGTAGTAGTTAGTATTAGTAGTAGTAGTAGTAGTAGTAGTAGTAGTAGTAGTAGTAGTAGTAGTAGTAGTAGTAGTGTAGTAGTAGTACGTAGTAGTAGTAGTAGTAGTAGTAGTAGTAGTAGTAGTAGTAGTAGTAGTAGTAGTAGTAGTAGTAGTAGTAGTAGTAGTAGTTGTAGTAGTAGTAGTAGTAGTAGTAGTAGTCGTAGTCGTAGTCGTAGTCGTAGTAGTGTAGTAGTGTAGTAGTAGTAGTAGTAGTAGTAGTCGTAGTCGTAGTAGTCGTAGTCGTAGTAGTAGTAGTAGTGGTAGTAGTAGTAGTCGTAGTAGTAGTAGTAGTAGTCGTAGTAGTCGTAGTCGTAGTCGTAGTAGTCGTAGTAGTAGTAGTAGTAGTAGTAGTAGTAGTAGTAGTAGTAGTAGTAGTAGTAGTAGTAGTAGTAGTAGTAGTAGTAGTAGTAGTAGTCGAAGTAGTAGTAGTATAGTAGTAGTAGTAGTAGTAGTAGTAGTAGTAGTAGTAGTAGTAGTAATAGTAGTAGTAAAAGTAAGTAAGTAGTAGTAGTATAGGTTAGTAGTAAGTAGTAGTCGTAGTATAGTAGTAGTAGTATAACAGCAGTCAGCCAGCAGTAATAGTAGTAGTAGTAGTAGTAGTAGTAGTAGTAGTAGTATCGTAGTAGTAGTAGTAGACAGTAGCAGTAGCAGTAGTAGTAGTAGTAGTAGTAGTAGCAGCAGTAGTAGTAGTAGTAGTAGTAGTAGTAGTAGTAGTAGTAGTAGTAGTAGTAGTAGTAGTAGTAGTAGTAGTAGTAGTAGTGGTGGTGGTAGTAGTAGTTCCCCACAGGTTTCGTGGGGTTCTGGTTGTCTTCGTGCCGCGTCGCACCTGCGTCTCACGCGCGTACCTCCCTCGCGGCCCTCGCAGCACAGCACAGCGCAGCTCAGAACTTCTCAGCACAGCTCAGACGGGAAGGTCCTGTTCCCGGAAAGGGCCTGAGCCCAGGGTTCTCTTTTAGTTGGTTTCCCCCCGGTTTTGACGGCTGTAGGGCCAGCGAATTTCTTTTGCGATAAATAACGAGGTCGCGTAGGGCCGGCGAATTAACAATTGAGGATGTCCCTAGCGAAACGCTTGTTTTTGAAAATTTGTTGAGGATGTCTCGAGCGAAACGCTGGTTTTGCAGAGTTGGGGATGTCTCGAGCGAAACGCTTGGTTTCAGAATTTGTTGAGGATGTCTCGAGCGAAACGCTGGTTTTGCAGAGCCGACCGCGACACGGAAAAGCGCTCCTCGCGCAGGAATTCCGAGGATGTCTCGCGCGTGCCGCGTCCCGCACGCAGGAATTTTGATTTCTTTGGGTTTTGACAGGATTTCTCAAGCGAAACGCTTGTTTTTCATAATTTGTTGAGGATGTCTCGAGCGAAACGCTGGTTTTGCAAAATTGGGGGATGTCTCGAGCGGGGGCCTCGTGGGGGGCCAGAATTCAGAGGATATCTCAGGCGCAATGCTTGTTTTCGTGTCCCGCTCGCAGGAATTCCGAGGATGTCTCGCGCGTGCCGCGTCCCGCGCGTAGGAATTCGGATGATTGTGATAGGATGTCTCGAGCGAAACGCTTGTCCCCAGCACGTTCAGTAGCGCGTCCCCTTGGCACGTCCCGCGTTGCGACCCCATGGCACGTCCCCTGGCACGTCGCCTGGCGCATCCCTTGGGACGTTTCGCGGCGCGTCCTCCTGGCATGTTCCCCTTGTCAATTAGCTCTGGGGCAGCTACTATGTGTTCAGGCAGCTCGAGCTTAAGATCCAGATCAGTTCGGTCAGGACTCGGATGCAAAGGAGGACTCGATCCACGACGCTATAGAGCACAATCGCGGCATGGCACATCGCAATTCAGCACGGTGCAGCACAGCACAGCCCTCGGCAGGGTACATCAAGATCGATACACTCAGCATTGCAACTTGGCACGTTCCTTGGCACGTTCCGTGGGGCGTCCCTTGGCGAGTCCCCCTGGCACGTCGCGTGGCGCGTCCCCTGGCACATTCCGTGGCACATCCATTGGCACGTTCCGTAGCGCGTCCCTTTGGCACGTCCTACGGTGCGACCCCATGGCGCGTCCCCTGGCACGTCGCCTGGCGCATCCCTTGGGACGTTTCGCGGCGCGTCCTCCTGGCATGTTCCCCTGTCCATTAGCTCTGGGGCAGCTACTATGTGTTCAGGCAGCTCGAGCTTAAGATCCAGATCAGTTCGGTCAGAACTCGGATGCAAAGGAGGACTCGATCCACGACGCTATAGACCGCAGTCGTGCCATGGCACATCGCAATTCAGCACGGTGCAGCACAGCACAGCCCTCGGCAGGGTACATCAAGATCGATACACTCAGCATTACAATTGCCCGTCACCCAATCAGGTGTCTTTGAAAACGCTGCCATGTGTTACAGTTCTATATTCCTTTCCGGGTTCGTGGGTCGATCATGTGTTTTTCCTTGTCTCTCTCTTGCTTCAGCCTGCGTGTCAGCTTTGGCCTCGGCTCTGCGTCCGTCCCTGGACGCGGCTCCAGCCGCTGGCAGGGCTGCGTCCGGCTTCCGCTTCCAGTCTTAACTCGGCTTTGGCTCCGTCCCAGGCCCGTGCAGCGACTCCGGCGCAGGCCTCGGCCCCGGTTCCGCGCGTCCGATCCCGAGCTTGAGCCCGAGCTGGAGCCCGAACGCAAGTCGGAGCTGTCGCGCGGTCCGGGGGAGACGCCCTGGCGTGCGGATGTGGGCAGGTGCTTGAGCCGCTTGCGCGGCCTGGAGGCCCCGGGTGTGCGGCCCTGGGGGCGAGGCCCCGGTGCGCGACGTCTGGGCGAAGGCCTGGGGCGCCTGGAAGCGACGGGACTCGAGGGGGACGAGATCTAGATAGGATTCGAGCTAAACTCTGTTTTTGGCGATGTCGTGGATTGTTCTCGTTTTGATTTTGTTTTGCAGCAAAGGCTGGGCGAAGACAGACCGAGGGAAAACCCGAGCAAAACGAAAACGAAAACCATTGTTTAACTCAAGCCATGGATCTAGAGGAAAGCATGCGCAGGCTGGAGCTACTTGGTCGTCCTGGTCTGAACGCATATTGAGACCTGGGCTTGGCTTCTGCAAGCAATCAACGTTTATGGAAATCGGTCTGATAGACCATGCAGCTCGTAGACATGCCCTGCGTGCAAAGCAATTCAAGCTGGAGTGATGCTGCCGCGCTATCGGGCCAGTTGCCTCTCTACTATCGACGGGAGTTTTGACGACTTGGCCGTTTGAAAGTTATGTGTTCGAGATGCGATAGGTTATGATTACTAATGCTCTTCCTCCATGCAGGTAGTGAATTAGATATGTTCGCCAATTGCTATGAGCTCATTCCAGATCTTTACAACATTTTTATTCAGGGTGGAATCCCGTCCTGAAATCAGTTTTGTCGATGATGTTTGTTTTTTTTGGTTAGTTTGAGAAGATCTTCAGGGATGTAAAAAAGGCGTTTGGGCAGACCCTTGCATCGACCGTCGCAACAAACAGTAGACCAGTGGAGCTGCCATGGTCGGACCATCAACATGCAATCTCGCTGGCGCTGAGATCGGCCCAAGATTGACGTATACTCGAGTAGCGGGATCCGCGCTGCAACTATTCTGCTGCGTCGATCATTTTTTCCGACGCGAACCCGATATTCATAGCAGCTGCGGCTTCTGAGGCGCGCCGCAGAGTACCGGTTCAGTATTCGAGCTGTGCTAGAACAAACGCTTCTCTTCTGCAGCCATTATGCTGTGCCGAATTGTTTTTCGAATGAACCGAGATTTCGGGCAGCTGCGGGGCCTGCGACTTGCGCGGCGACAACTCTACGAGTTTCGGGCGGTAATCAAGGTTGGCAGCTTGCCACCAGCACCAAGTTTCAAACTCATTGAACATGGTTGTGACGAGGTTTCTAGTGCGTGTGTGTGTGTGTGTGTGTATGTGTGTGTGTGTGGGGGTGTCTGTGTGTGTGTGTGTGCGTGCTTGTATATTTCCGCAAGGGCTTCGCCCCCTGCCGCCGGCCCCCTCTCTCGGAGAATGGGATATGCAAAAGCGTTAGAAGATCGTTTGGGCCCCCTGCGTTTTTAAGGAAAAACTGCATGGGCCGCAGCGGGCCCCCCTTTCTGTTTTCTCGGGGGCTGAGGGGACCGACCGCTGAATAGCGAGGCGTCGGCATCTCCAGCAGCAAGCGGAACGGCGACGGCGATGATCGACAGAGCTTTTCGCAATCAGCTCGGGGCGCTGCGGCATGGCATTCGCGCGGGGATTCTTCTTCCCCGACATGGCTCAAGTTCCGTTTCAAAAAGGCACTAATGATTTGAACGTGCATATGTCAGTGGATGGCAAGCGCCGTGCCCTAGACATAGCATCGCACCTGGAACGCGGCCGCCAGCGCTCTGAAAGTCACTTCCTGCTCAACGGCCTTGATGTGGGTGCGGAACCTATGCTCGGCAAGGGGCCTCGACCACTTCTGTTTGTTGGCCTTCTTGGGCAACATGCCGCCGTGGCGCTTCCTGATCCATCGCTTGATCAATGACAATTGAAGCTCTATGTAGTTGGTAGTGAACCCTCTCTCGTTCGTGATCTTGCCCGCGCTGTGGTTCACTACCTCGCGCGGCAGCGTCCGCTCGGTGAGGCCAGCGTCAGTGCGGTACTGCTTCGCGGCCGCTATGGTCCCCTTCCACTTGTCCGAGACAATGATGACCCCAGCGGGCGGCGGCAGCTCCGTGAAGTTGTCCAAGAGCTCCTTCTTGCCCCTGGGCTTCCCGTCGTAAGCATTCCCCACCGACTTCAAAACTTTGAAGAAGAACCGGTGCGGCGAGCCCTGGTCGACGGCGCCCCAGAGCCACAGCTTGTCCTTCTTCGGCCTTGCGTTCTTCGCCAACTTGGGCAACTTGCCCTTGTTCAAGAAGGACTCGTCAACCTGCGTGATGACCTTCGCGGTTCGGGCTGCTGGGGGCGTGGGCCGAGCGGGGCGCTTCATGACGGACCGTTTCTTCACTCCCGCCCGCGCTGGCTGGCTCCCCGCCGAGCGCCTGGCCCGAAGCTTCGGCGCAGCTTTCGCGGCAGCGGGGCGCTTGCGCGGGCCGCTGCCGAGCAGGTCGGCGAACGCGGAAGATGCGTCCATCTTCGTGGCCATGTGCGCCTCGACGCCCTCTTCGAAAGTCTGAATCCAACGCTCCACAGTTGTGTGGGCGTCAACGCTTAGTTCGGACTTGAGCGTGCCAAGGTTGTAGTCGAGGCACCACAGCACAGACGAGTCGAGCTTGCTCATCCATAGGCTCGCGGGCGTGCCAGCCAAAATAGTGCCCCCCAGCGCCGACACCTCGTCTCCGTTGCACGTATCGCAACCGCCGTCGTAGCGAGGTCTGCGCCAGTTGAAGCGCGCGGCATCGCCGCGGCGATGCTTCACGCTCAGCGTGTACGCCTCGCTGAATCAGCGCAGCAATGCGTCTTGCGAGCCATGCCGAAGTGCTGACAGAAAAGGAAAGCGCGGGCCGTCTCGTCCGCCAAGTAGCTCCCAGGGTCTACGATCTCCGCGTGTGAGACGGCGTACTGGAAAGAATCTCGGTTCGTCGCGTCCAAGTCCCCCAGCGCATTTAGGTAGGCCGCCGCGTCTGCATATCGCGCCATGCCGCGGGATGTGGAGGAACGCGGAAAAGCCAGTAGAGGGCCCCTCAGACTGCGAGCCGAACGCTGCGGATTCCAGACGGCACGCGGTATATATATATATATATATATATATATATATATATATATATGCAATCCCCTTGAACCTCCGCCTAGGAGCTTACTGGGCTATGGCTGGCTAACGGCGAGCCGCAGAGGCAAGGGCGCATGGGCGCGCTCGGTGCGTCGGCAGCGGCCCCTCGCTCTCATCCGCAATTGTTGCGTGCTTTTTTTTGCTGCTGCTGGAGTGGGCTCATCGGCAAGGCCAAGTGACCTCCTGCAAAGCTCCGAACTGAGTTTGGTGAGCATATTAAAGATGCGACAAGCAGCAATGCCCGCTGGCGGAACGCGCGCCGACCGCCGCGTGCGCGAGACAAAAAAAAAACACGCCGCTGTTTGCCTCCAGGGCCCGCGAATTACCACGAAGCTCGGCAGTTAGGCGCAGGTGGTGTATGCGCAGCCGATGACTGGAACAAAAAACAAGCGGCGCGTTGGACATGGGGTAGTGGAGTAGCTGGGGCGGCGGGGTAGCTGTGGGATGAGGTGGGAAGGGCAGGGCAGAAGGGGGGAAACTTGGCCCGCCGTCTAGGCAACAACCTTCTCAGAGGGGCGCGCGCGCGCGGATGTTGGCGCAGGGCGGCCACCGCGTGCCAGCTTGTAGTAGGTGAGGTCGCGGCCCTCGGCCTTATCCAGGTAATGCGCGGCCTGCGTCGCCTGAACCAGCGCGGGCGCCGCGGGGTCGAAGAGGCCCAGCCCCCTGTCGCTGAGCCGCAGGCCGTAGGCGTTCTTCGGCGCGCCCTCGGGGGAGGCGTCCTCCACGACCACGAGCGACGTGCCAGAGTAGGCCCCCTCGAACGCAGAGCGCGGGTCCACGGGGGCGGGGGCGGCCGCCGTGTCAGCGCGCTGGGGGCTGTAGAGCGCGCTGTCGTTGATCTCTTGCACGGTCAGGGCTGCCAAGTCCTCCTCAGGTCGGTCCGTCATCGCCGCGTTGGGCATGCCCGCCCACCACGCCGCCGCCAGCAAGAAGTTGCCCTGGCCCGGCACGGGGAAGCCGAGGAAAGCGATGTCGGACCCGCAGCCGCGCAGAGCAGCAACGCCCAGGCGGTCCCGCAAGGTGTTCGGCCAGGACTCGGATGGCGAACTCAACGCAGGACACTTTGTGCACCCTGGCCACCGCCAGACGGACCTGGGCCTGCTGCTGGAAGCTTGCCGCCGAGACGGGCGCGCCGTCAAAAAGGAGCACCTCGCTGCATGGGGCGGCCAGGCGGCGCACGATGTTCATGAGGGCCATCAGGGCCTCGTCCTCCAGCGCAGACAGCACGGCTGCCATGCGGCTGAAGTCGGGGGGCGGCCTGTCTCCGTAGAGCTGCCTGTGCGCCGCGAACGCGGGGTCTGCGAGCGCGACCGACGCGCCGTCTCTCACCTCGCTGCTGAGCTTCAGGGGCCACGGAAGCTGCTCCATTGGCCTGGCCCCGTATAAGATTTTGATGCTATCTACCTTCGCCTCGTCCCGTGAGACCCCCAAGTACGCGGCCAGCGCGGTCCTCCACTGCCCGTAGTATATGCAGAGGCGGTCGACCATGGGGAAGCGATCCACGCCGTGCGCGCCCGCCCGCTGCAAGGCGACCTTGAAGAGCCGCGGATGACAGCAGGGGGCGTCGAGGGCCACGTGGTCGGGGAAGGCCGCCTGTCGGGCCCCCCTCGTGAGCTTCTGCCCAGCGGGGCCCAGAGCGAATTTGCGCTTGTAATCCTCCTTTGCCCTGTAAGGTATCCGCAAACGCACGTGGTCCCTATCCGAGCTGGCCGTCCAGTAATCCTCGCACCTCTGCAAGCACGCCTGCAGCATCTTCTGACCTCGGTCGGTCCCGCGGGTCGCGTGCTCGAGCAGGGCTTCGACGTCGGGCATCTCGCTGCATTGGAAGTCCGTGGGGAGCCTGCGCTCGCGGGCGGCGACGTCGCCCATGCTCTCCACGATCATGGCGTACCACTCGACGGCCCCGTCGTGGGTCAAGGAAGCCTGGGCGTCGACGTGGTCGAAAGGGCGCCCCCACTCGCCCCAACTTCCGAGCGCCGCGGCGCCGCCGTTTGCGTCCACGACAGCCATCATGCGATCGTAATCGGCTAGCAGTTTGCGGACCGCATTTGAGTCGGAGCGCAGGGGGAGGGGCGCAGGGGATTTCTCCAGGGCCTGGAGGAAGTTTTGCCACTTGGACGACGAGCGCTGCCCCAGCTGGCGCGCCCCTGGCACGCAGCTGAGAGATTGGAACAAGTACTCTTTGGGGAGCGGCTTCGCTGGCGTCGCCTTGTGGGCAGAGATCAAGAGCTTTGCGGCCGCCGCGTGGGCCTCGTCGGCATCGCCAGGCGGGGGGTCCTGGCCGCCGCTCAAGCGGGTGCCCAGCCAAGCGGTGTCCCGAGCCACCCTCGGGCAGACTGACTCCAGGTCGTCCTGCGTGCGCAGGCAGTTGGCGATGGACCCCTCGTCGCTCCTGAAGAAGGGGCGGCGCCAGTTCCGAAACATGAGGCACGACGTGAAGTCGTGGGCGAGGAAGGGGTCGAGCTCTGCCAGAGGGATCTTGAGGAATCTCCCCTCGGCGTGATTCACGTCCTTCGGGTCGTTCACGAACTCCGCGAGGCCCATGCGGCAGCATGCGATCCTCCGCTGCAATTGCACCAGCGCCCTATCGCTGCTCCCAGTGAACTCGATGGTCGGAATGTTCTCCCAGTTCAGCTCCAAGTCCTTCTTGGACTCGCCGTGCTTGCGGTTGCTGTTGAAGCCGTAGTTGACGCGGCAGGTGAGCGCCTCATCCACGACGAAGCGCTTCCAAATGTCGCCCAGGAACGCGGCGCCTCCATCGCACTCCTGGATCCGCACGGCACTCTTCGCCCAGGCGCCCCCTCCAGCCTTGCGCCACTCGTTCCGTTCCTGGAAGGCGCCGCAGTCGAGGTAGTGGACTTGATCGGATCCGAAGAGGTGCTCCTGCAACTGCGACTCGGCGTGTTTCCCGCCCCCGCCCCCGCCGATTTTGAACGTCGTCTTGGCAGAGGTTACCTGTGCGAAGGCAAGGTGCAAGGCGGCCAGCTCGAGCTGGAACACGCCGTGGTTGTTGTAGTACAGGCCCTGAAGGAACGTGGCGAGGCGCTTGGCCCATTCCGATTCAACGATGCCCTCGGCCTGGAGCTCCTCGGTTGTCCAATTGTACTTCCAGGGGGCCCTGGCGTAGCAATTGTTGCCGCGACGCGCCGGCGCTGGCTCCCACTGGGCGTCCAGGTAAACGTCCGGGCACTGGATCCCTTGCGACTGGGGCTTCGGGGTCTCGCAGTGGGTAAGGAAGAGCTCGGTGAGGGGAGCCTGGAGACTGCCGCAGTCCCACTGCTTCTTGAAATTGCCAATCACTTCACCGCAGCGGAGCGCCCAGTTGCCCTTCCAGACCTTGTTGTTCGTGGCCTTCTGCGGCGCGGCCGACTGTTCCTTGGAGAACTCTCGCAGCGCCTGCGTGATGTTCGGAGGGCCATTGGTGAGAAAGCCTGCCGCCGCGGGCTGGACGTGGGCCCACTGGAACGGCGCGCACTCGTGTTCTCCAGGGGCGCAATCAGCGCCACCGAGCATAGCCAACAAGCTCTCAGTGGCGGTGAGGACCTCCCAGGCGTGCGCGTCGAACTTGGGCGCCGGGTCCCAGTTGCCGCCCGAGTACCTGGAGACATGCTTGGAATGGGCGCGCCAATTCGTACCGTCGACGAACAGCAGGATGCATAGGCGATGGCGGTTGCTCAGCTGGTAGTTCGATATCGACGCCTCACACAGGAACATCAGGATGGACAGCACGGCTTGCTTTTCCTTGCCCATGGTAGCATGTTGTTCCTGCGCGCTCTTCAGGATCGCGCTGACTTGGCCCAGCAGAGAAGTCGCGCCGGGCGCCGCAGCCGGCGCGGGGGCCGCCTGCGGTGTGGCCACGCTGGCTTGCGGAGCACCGCCCCCCAAGAGGGAACGCGCCATGCTCGAGCGTTCCTCGACGCGAGGACGCTTGGGGGACGGCTGGCCTGGGTCGCCAACGCCGGCGCCAGGTGCCTGCGACGGGGTCTGGGTTGCCACGCCGCCCCGATCCAGCACGGCGCCGAGGGCCTGGCTGAGAGTTTCCACCTGGGCAGGAGAATGGAGGGGCGCCTTGTCCTCGTCGCTGGACTCAATGTCCACGACAGCCGCCCCCGACACGTTGAGCGGGCGGAACTGCCCCGGCAGCGGCGAAGGTGTCCCTGCGCTGGATGCCATTCAAAGCTGGCGGGTGGTCGCGTGGAGAGCACAGGGCGAGAAGGGCGTGAGACCAGACGCTTTGAGCCAAACTGCTGAGGACAGCAAATGCGCACACGCATGTGTCTCTGCATGTGGGCGTGTGTTTTGTGTGATCTTGTTGTGGTTGTCGTTGTGGTTCCTGTTGATGATCTGTTGTTGTTCTTGTCGTGGCTCCCGTTGCGGTTCCTGTTTTGTTTTCTGGTGTGGTCCCTGCTGTGGTTCTGTCGTGGCTTACTGTTGTGTTTGCCGTTGTGGTTTTTGCTGTGGGCCATGATGTGGCCCCTGTTGTGGTCGTTGCTATGGTTCCTATTCTGGCTTCTGTTATGGTTCCCGTTGTGCTTCCTGTTGGCCCTCCCGATGATCCACCATTATTGGCCCCCCCCTCATGGGTATTCCCATTGGCCCCCCCTATAAGTACCCCTTTGGCCCCCCTATTGGCCCCCGTCGGTCTCCCTTAAATTCCCCTTCGGTCCCCCTTTGATCCCCCTTTGGTCCCTCTTTGATCCCCCCTATAGGTCCCCCTTTGGTCCCTCTTTGGGGCCTCTTTGGTTATTCTATTGATGCCTATTGGTCCCCCTTTGATCCCCCTTTTGATCCCCCTATTGGTCCCCCTTTCGTCTTACTTTGGTCCTCTTTTTGGCCCCCCCCATTGGTCCCCCTTTGGCCCCATCTGTGG